ACTGTTATTGGTCCATGTCTGTAGTTAAACAGCTAAAGGTATCACATATTGTTAGACTGTTATTGGTCCATGTCTGTAGTTAAACAGCTAAAGGTATCACATATTGTTAGACTGTTATTGGTCCAGGTCTGTAGTTAAACAACTAAAGGTATCACATATTGTTAGACTGTTATTGGTTCATGTCTATAGTTAAACAACTAAAGGTGTCACATATTGTTAGACTGTTACTGGTCTATGTCTAGTAAAGTTTGATAAACACAGTTAAATGAGCAAGGTATTCAACAATAGAGATTAGTGAATTTTACTGAGTAGTTAATCATTAGGTTCATAAATTAATTACATTCAACTAATCAATTATTCTTATGAGACATAAATAGTTGGAATAATTCAAAATTATTATAATATGAAATACTAATTTTGATTAATTGGTTATTTTCGTGACATCGATATTTAATTGATAATAATTATTTCTACACCAAATGATGTAATTGATGCCAAATATCTTCTTTCAGTAAATACAGAATATTAACTTGTTATTACTTTTTAATTATTAAAGCAATCTTACCTTAAGTTATGCATGTAATTAGGGTTTATTTTAGGAGGGTACTCACTTTCAAACCATAAAAATAAAGATATATATTAATATAGTCGATAAGAAAATAATGTAAACTATTTATATTGTAGAATACAAACTTATTTTTGTCATATAATACAATATGAGATACCTTTCTGTCTTTGCCTTATTTTTAGATGCAATTTAAATATGTATATACCCAACATTTATCAAATGGCAAATGTTTAACTTATAAAGAAGTTCTAAAATAAGAGTTGTGTTTTATTAGGATATAAACATATACCAAAATTAGTACTTCAGGAGTTTTACAATTCCATGAAAGTGCAAATTTCCCAAGAAATTTTATGTTTGGCACACAAATCTATGATGTGGCTCAATTTTGAAATATTATTTTTTGTAAGTAACATAAGAAAAAAGTGAAAAATGGCATTATATGTGTAGTTCAAAGTTTTAATAGTTAATTTATTTTTTTACATTTATATAAAATATTACCTTCCTTGGACATTCAGTTTTAAAGTTAAGATAAATTTGGATTTGATCTGTTGCTAGCAGAATACAAATGATTGTAACACTGGCCTGTGAGTCATATGTTATGGCAGTTTTGTAACTTGACACACAAGGTAAATAGTTATTCATACTCATGTGAAACTTGCAACCTTGCTGCTGGATACACATGTATAAAGTGAGTTGTAAGTCATTTAAATTTTCAAAAGATGTGTTTGATGTGTTGACAGTGTCATCATTTATACACTAGTCATCAGTGTTTGTGTTAGATGTATTAGAAGTGTCATCATGTATACACTATTGGTCAGTGTTTGTATTAGATATATTAGAAGTGTCATGTATACACTAGTGGTCAGTGTTTGTGTTAGATTTATTAGAAGTGTCATCATTTATACACTAGTGGTCAGTGTTTGTGTTAGATGTATTAGAAGTGTCATCATGTATACACTAGTGGTTAGTGCTTGTATTATATATATTAGAAGTGTCATCATGTACACACTAGTGGTCAGTGCTTGTATTAGATATATTAGAAGTGTCATGTATACACTAGTGGTCAGTGTTTGTGTTAAATGTATTAGAAGTGTCATCATGTATACACTAGTGGTCAGTGTTTGCATTAGATGTATTAGAAGTGTCACAGTGTATACACTAGTGGTCAGTGTTTTTGTTAGATGTATTAGAAGTGTCATCATGTATACACTAGTGATCAGTGTTTTTGTTAGATATATTTTAGAAGTGTCATCATGTATACACTAGTGGTCAGTGTTTTTGTTAGATGTATTAGAAGTGTCATAATGTATACACTAGTGGTCAGTGTTTTTGTTAGATGTGTTAGAAGTGTCATCATGTATACATTAGTGGTCAGATGTATTAGATGTATTAGAAGTGTCACAGTGTATACATTAGTGGTCAGTGTTTTTGTTAGATGTATTAGAAGTGTCACAGTGTATATATTAGTGGTCAGTGTTTTTGTTAGATGTATTAGAAGTGTCACAGTGTATA